AGTATATCGTACTATCCTACGCTATCGATCTCCCAAACAAACCCACAGCCAAGCAAAATGGTGCTGGTGTGAACATCGATCTTTGGCGGACATTGCCTTGTCTCAGATATCTCAGATGTGTGAAACGACGCACGTGGTGCATGCTGCTGGTTGGGTGTAATACACAAGTGTTGCACAAGTGTTGTAGTACACAAGTGTTGTAGTACATTATGACCCTCGTGTGCGAGCAGATCGGCCAAACACCCTACGGCCGGGTCATAAGCTAAAGTGAGAAGTGGTTGCATACACATTTTCATTCTCATTCTCATACCGACAAAATTCTACACGGTCTCATTCGAACATAATAACAGCTGTAAACGTAGTTTGTCTCATTCAAGCATAATAATAGCTGTAAACCTAGTTTGTTGGAGTTGTGGAAATACTCACCTCTTGTAACACATCACCTTCGTGTGTCAATAGATCAACCACACACCCTATGCGCACGTTCACCGGTTGCTGGCCCTCAAGAGCCTTAACAGTGACGTAGCCACGGTATGTTTCACCTACAACCGATAACGACAGACAACAAACATAGCACATGAGAACAACGGTAGATCCAATGATAGTTTAGACAATAAACTTTTCCAACAGTGTACATTAGGGATTTAGGGATTTAGGGTTCTCTGCTGTAGATCACTCGAGTTCTCGGTTAAAGTGCACAAACATTAGACATAAAAATTTCTTTCGTCGCTGAATTAGACATCATGCGTTTGTATACAACAGTAAACTGTATGAAAGATTACAGATATGGTAAAGCAATCGATCAACTACTACAGACATATTAGATTTATAGACGAACATTTGAAGGTCGCCGCTGGTTCAGACGCATGGTCTGTGGAGGGTACGAAACAAGACGTGCGCATATAATATAGATATATAGAAGACCCACAGGCAAGGACACGCCAATACATAAATATAAATATATAAGTTTATACATATATATATATATATATATATATATATATGTGTGTGTGTGTCGTGTGTGTGTGTTGTGTG